AACATTTTGTTCTGGAGGTCTAAAAGGAAGTACCTTAATTGAAGCTCAGACACTGCGACTTGAATATCTAAAACAGCATTCCTTAAGTCACTGCAACGGTCACAGTTGATGTTGTGTTGGTGTGAACATGTCCCTCGGTACTCAGCTTCATTGCTGCTAAGTGCATACATGCTGCAGTGGTCTGCACAGGGAGTCTCAGTAGCGATGTGCAGCTTGTAGTCTGTTGACACATATCTTTTTCCAGCTTTGAGACGGGACAAAATTCCCTTTGTCTCTTCATCTTGAAAACCTACATGGATACAATTCCATTAGCTAAAACCCTTGACGTACCAAAGATACCAGCATGTACAAAAGCGAAACTCGATTAGGAAATGCAGCTCGTTTATTGACCTTTCTTTTTCTTAGCCCAGTTTTCCAAGCTGTAACTATTTCACAGGTGCACTCAGGAAAGAAATGCTCAGTGGTTTGGAAGAAAAGTATATACTAGAAAATTAACCTTAAAACATAAAAAGGGTTCCTGCAATTGACAACTTACTCATTTTTTTTTGTTTCCCTTTCCTCTGAACTTTCTCATACGCCCCTCTCAAAAAAGCTCACTTCAAATGCGTGCGCCCACCCACCAAACACAAAAACACCAACACGTTGCGTCCCATATTCAAGGAAATAAGGCAAAAGGCTAGACTTCACCTAATTTTCCGTCTTACCGTTTTTCTGTAGTATGCTAGTTACTACTTCAAGAGATGAAATTGCAGTTACACCGTCCGTTTGCATGCTGTCCAAACCCGCCAAGGACTTCTTCTGAGAAGCAGCGCACACCTGAAGTATATAAGTATATTGTAGTCAATTATGTACTGCTTGAATAAGAGGGTAAAAATCCTCTTGTCATACCAAGCAAAATCTGCAGCTTGTACTGGCCTTCTCCACTCACACATACACACACACTTTCCCACACACTAAGCTTAAGACAGTACGGAATAACTTGCGTCTATTAAAACCAAAATTGTCGTCTAATACATGGCCTTATATCCATCTATACCTTAAGGATATTGAAAAGTGTTGATCTTCCAAGGGGTGTGAAGCCGGATTCTGTACAATAGGCTTGATACAGCTGGATGAGACGGGACGAAATGACTGTTCTCACCACGTTAGGTATGTCAATTTTCTCTCCGCTTGACAGCTTTAGAGTTTTCGTTCCATATGCAACGTCTTGAAGAAATGAAGGACTGGATACAAAATCTACGAAATGGTCGATTTTAGTGGGATCCAGCCTTGTTCTGGTAATGGTTGGCGGCTCTATAGGCTCTCCAGGCTTGGTCTGAAAAGCATGTTTTCTGGCCTCATCAATCCTAAACTTTGTCAGTCCTGGCACAAGCTGCAGCAGTTCTGTCTTACTGTAATCACCAGCAAAGAGGGAGAGAAACTGTTGCTGGGTGTTCCAGGATCTAGCTTCATTATACAGCGTTACTAGTCTAGAGACCAGGCTGTCGTCCTCGGCAGCACCAGATACAGTACGCCCGCTTTGGTTCCTTGCAATCACCTGTTGAGGCAGCCATGATGAATTACTCGGTGCAATAGCCTCCAACACGGAATCAACAACTTGCTCTGCCTTTTTCCCATAATAGCGCCGCGTCGATGACGGCATAGTCACAACATCAGACCTGCATTGCGACCTGACTGGACTGATTCGGCCATCAGTTGACTTAAGGAGATAACTGTTGAGGTGCTGCAACTGATGCTCAACTTGGGGTGTTGGTTGCCACTCTCTAGACGTCTCTTCCTCTACCAACGAGCCTTGGGAGGACGATGAGAAGATATCTGAATTCGGATCGCTTTGCTATAATAAAAGGAACAGTTTTTTTTAGCGAGGTAGGAACCTATGCATCGAATGTGCCCCTAAATAATTAGAAATACATGTCATTCGGTGTAAGAGTTGCTTCTGCCTCTTCTATAGGCTTTACAAGGCTAAGTGCAGTTATGCGGAGCGCGGACGTTAACTGCAGGCTGCTAGGAGACGAGCATGAAGTACGAGTTTGGGGGGTGACGAAAACGAGCACAGGGTAGGGAACGGGAAATAATGTTACCCCTTTCGTCGCCCACCATTGCCGTAATAATTTACTACAATATCCACAAAATATGCAACCGCGAGTGAGTCGAACGACGCGGTTATAATTACTCTTTTACATGAACCACGCAGTCGAATTAGGTGAAAAATTAAGTAGAACAAAATAAGATAACCTCATTATTAAATATATTATGAGTTCTGTTTTGGAGTTTTTAAATTTATTAATTCAAACATATTTAAGAGGCACATCAATCCTACCTCGCTCAAAATCTCATCTTGAAATCGCACTCGCAAACGTGGTAACACAAATTCCTCTTCTTCTGGTTCAGTTGACTCTGTTGCAACGCGCTCTGTAGATGGCGCTGGAGTGTGACCCACAAACTCCTCCTCTTGCGTAGCAGAAATTTGGGATCCCTCAGTTAAGGTAGCCAACACAGAGGGTGGCTCACACTCTCATAAATTCAGAGTGGGCACCTCTACAGTATCTGCATATTCCTAGTAAGTAGGAATTTTTTTTACATATAAAGTCTTCATTTTATAGTATACTCAGTGGGTTTTTCGAATTAAAATTAGTTGGAAATGTGCCCTATTAATAAACTACCAACCCCTTTCTCCTAGCTAACCCCGTTATCCCGGCTACTTAATTTAGGAAAAATTAATTAAATTCGTCCGCGAGTTACTAGAATTATTATCACACCTATGCGCCCTGGTACTGATGAGTAAGCTATTGGCGCCTGCGATGACACGAATTTCATTTTCACACACTTTTAAAAGTCTTATAGCAGAATTTTCAAAATGGATAGTAAATTAACAGCATATAGGTAAAAAAAACACAGCTGAAGTAACAATCTTAGCTTGGTAGGTTGCTTAGCACCTTCGAAGTTGTCTCGGTCTAACTCGTCCCCAGTCGACTTCGCAAGACACATCATACCCATCAAACCATGCGCGCCTATGCTAGAAGGGAGAGGTTCAATGAGAGACGACTAGGGACGGGTCTGACTAACCCACGTTGCCCAAAGCCTCGTGGGAAGGCCTTCCTTGCCTATCCTCCCCTTCCACGCGTGATCTATGCGTTTCGGGTCACACGGTCCAATTGAGTATGTTTGTCTCTCCGCCTTTCATATCAGTTGCTGTGCGCATAGGAAGTAAGCAAGTCAGTAACAACACCCTATGCAAAATTAAATCTTTTTAATTACCTGCACCGACTGGAACTACAGTGTTCCACTTTCGCTTGATTTCTTTTGCCGTCTTCAGATTGACTCCTCTGTCACCTTTGCCCTTTCGATTGCCGTGAAGAGGATGTTGGCATTTTTTTGGTGGTCGGAATCTTACTCCAAGGACTGCGCGATGTTTGGGGCAGATCGTGAAATCGAGACCGTGATCATCTTCAAACAAACCAACGCGAGCTAAAATGAGCTTTTTCTCGGATACAACGCACGATTGAGACACATTTACATCTCTAAGATGTTCCTTTATGCCATCGGCACACGAATTTAGTGGTATAAGTTGTTGCCGTCCGGGCCATCGCGAAGAGAAATCGCATTCCGTTCCACAGAAGATCGCAAATGAACAGGAAAGCTGAGACATATTGCGACTTTACAGCACAAACGCGTGGTTGAAAAGAATGCCCCGTGGACGATTAGTCAAATAAATTGCATGGTCTGAAATTTGACAGGCACATGCTGTTACAATTTTACTGATTGCGCAATCTGGCAAGGTCATGATTCTGTCTGGTCTCGTCTGGAATTTGAGGTACAAATGTACCATGGCCGGTACAGTCCTGTACAATAAAGCTTAATTTTGCAAAAGAATAGAATTTCTTTAAATGAATTTAAGTAATTTACATGTTAGTTTTGTATAGAGTCACAGAATCATACCGATTACAAAATAGTACTTTGGTTATTCACTAATAAAACAAGATAATTCGGTTATCTTTCAAAAGCAACAACTTGTTTTGCAGGTGAAAATGTGTGGACTTCGCCATCAAGATAGTAAATTCATAAATGATTTAAGGCAATTTAATTTTTTTTGGTAGGTTTTGTTTTTTAAAATTCATTCTTTCTTCCACTCTAGACAACCGAAAATTGTTTAGATTCCGGGGTAGGCGCGGGAAATTCGCTGAACAAAACATTGTAGGCTCTTTTTTTGGTCACATAATACTTGGGCGTAATATTGATTGAGAGTGATCGAGTGACAGAGTTTCGAACAACTTGTATTTGCCGAAAAATGCCGATAGGAAGAGACAAATATAGTGATAGAGATAAGTAGGCCAATCGGAAAGCCTTGCTTGAAGGCAAAGAAGTTGATTTTGAACAAATATTGTCCGGTCACGCAGCATACATCGACGGCGGTAAGTGAAAATAACACGATACTTCTTTCTAATACTGTTTTTTTTCCGAGGTCGTAGCCAGAAGTTAAACGAATTTTTTAAGACCTTAATTTCTTTATCGCTAGAAGGAAGAATTTCTCATCATTTAATGTTGTTTTTAGATGTGCGAGTTGACATTGCTTTATGACTGGCGTGTACTGGCGTGACTCAAAGTTTGTCAACAACCGCGCGCCATGTGGCCTTGAAATCTCCCCTAGGAAATTAAAAACAGCCTGGTTTTCTCACAGTAAAGACAATAGACAATAAACACTTGAATAAGACGACTTATTATTAGTTTAACTCCTAAGAAGAATAATCTCTGATTTTGCGAGAACGTCTAAACGAGCTCACAAAGATTACGATTTTGCCTTCGATATTTTGGTGACATGCATTACTAATCAGTGTCCAATCTTTAATTTTCTCGCCAAATCTCGATCGTTTTAAGCATGTATTAAACTCCTCCATTACAATTCTTGTACAACGGGCTAGAAAGTGTCGGTTTTTTAAATTAAACAGCCATTAACTGTTGAACTGTAGGAAAGGTGAAGTGGAAATAAGTCTGTTTCAGGTGTAGTTTTCAATTGGTATCTGACGCCAAAAAAAGGCAGCGCCCAGAAATTTTTTTGTGTTTATTATAGACCAAAGGGTTGTTAAGCAGGGAATAACAAAATTATTGTCATAGCTTTCTGGCAAGGAGAGATATTCGATCTCAAAATCAGCAAATAATTGAATGGCTAAAAAGGTGGTCCCATATTCAAGGCCGGTGATTGACAAGCTGTCAATCAAATTGACTGAAACTTATATTCTTGCATTTATTAAAGACGTATCAACATATACACAAACCCTCATAGTCAAAGGTTAAAAACAGTTGTCCTGACAGCTTCCTACTTTTACCTGTTATTAATGCCCTTTTATTGGTAAAAAATCAAATTAAACTAGTTGGGTGGGCTATCTCCCACCATAAAGATCCAAACTACAAACCAGTTTGTCATTTTGAGTTTTGGGGTAGACCCTTTAAACTGGCCAAGTTTCAGCAAAATCGGAGAGATGGCATGTAGCACGTCTGCCTGGTGCACCCATGGACTCACTCTTAATAGTTCGTTTATTTTAGGATCTTGCGTAAGCGTTCCTAAAGCGGTATATTTTGTAATGTTTCTATAATTAGACTATTTGGAAAGTTCTAGAATCTTATTGTAAACGTATATAAGTAGGCGAGCCCGAGTTAAGTTTTAACTAGTTTTCACAAGCGAGGAGAGTTCGACGTTAGTCGTGTTTAGTCAAGTGTGACGAAGGCAGTGTTCATTCAAGTTGGCGGAGGCCGTGTAAGTTTATCAAGTTAATTGAAGTTGGCGGAGGCCGTGTAAGTTTAACGAGTTACGTGCTGTTGTGAAGTTTTACTTCGTGGAAACTACGTTCATTTTGGAATAAATCTTCTTGTTGCTGTTCCGACAACCCTGCGTTCAGTTTAGTTTGCAAGCTACCCGTCCTCTAAAAGATTACCCGCGTAACAGTAAGGGAGAAAACGTAAGTGTTTTTGGCCTCACCTATTAGCTTTCAGGAGTTGCATTGTGAGTTTGAATAATTATTACATTTTTTTGTTTCGTTTGACTTTGGCTGTGAAGTCGGGCGTAATTGTTTAACGTTACTTACGGTGACACGTAAGATTTGATCTGATTACTTCAAGTCGTTTTTACCCCCTCAGAAACGACTGATTCGACCGGCCGTTAATGCCGTCCACTGCCGTCACTACTCCTTTGCTTCAATTCATGCAAAAACTAAAACACGATTTTCAACTTGCAAACAAAGAAATGTTGTCTGGAAATATTTACATGATACAGAATTGCTTTACTCTATTTGATTGTAATTTATGTTTTAACGTTTAAACTGTCACCTGAACAAATCTGTTGTCAATAATCAAACTCGATCGCAATCACGCAATGAAATAAATACACACACAATAAAAAAAACCACAATAATTTGCTTTAATCGAAAAGAAGCTGTTTGGTCCTTAACGAAGAAGAAAGAATACGAGAAAAGAAGAAAGGAAAGCTAACAGAATCATTACTCTTGACGGTGGAAATGACCCGAAGGTCGAATTATGTCTTACGCAGAAATCTTAGAAAACTTCGCACAAAGTCCCTGCCGAAACCGTGCACAAAGCGGCTGTGAATGAAAAACGTACCGACTCTCGACGGTAAAGATTGTCTAAAACTCCACGCAGCCATGCCAGGCATGCGTTCTGCTTAATATCAAAAGACAATCCAGCTAAAATTTCTCATAGTTACACATAATTATGGGGATGTTTGAACAATCAACCAATCAAAATCACTACCCGGTTTTCGGGTAGTGACGTCACTGGACGGCATTAACGGCCCGTCGATTTAGACGTTGCTGAGAGGAGAAGACGACTCTAAGCAATCGGATGAAATTCATGCTACGCGTTTTATATATCAGAAAGTTTTCCGCGGTTGTAAATGAAAAGAAGAAGTTCTAAAGAAAGTGTAGTTGTCGATATTAGTTGTAAAAAGAAGGCTTTTGGCGAGGGATGTTCATTTAGTATTCGCCTTCCAAACGCGAAGCCGCCAAACAGAAAACAAAAAGAAGGAAAACAAGCTTTTGAAAAGAGTTTCCAAAACACTTCAACCATACTACTTCACTAATGAAAATTGCTTTTGTATTACATCTTTTATTATTTTTTTGTTCATGTTTTGATCGTCCATCAAACATTCTCCATTGTGCTAGCGGCTTTTTTTTCCTTCGTGGACTACAGGATCAAAGTTTAACCAATATCATTGTTCCTCTTATAGTGATGCTTTCAGCATTTGTAGTTAAATTTTTGTTGGACCTCAAGCCCCAAGGAGGCTTTTTACATTTACTTTTTTTCAGTAAATTAAACTTAACAATGTTTTTCTATTTTTCCATGTAAAGTAAAAGAACAGCAACATTTGTATTGCTTTTTGCCTTTCTCACAGATATGTAAAACGTGGACGTCCTGAAAAGAAAAAAGTGCAAATATTCCAACCATGATCTTCTCACCAATTTCCCAAGACAAAGCATGTTATAATTGTTA